GCCGTGGGGTCGGAGAGAGCAGGGAGCTCTGAGGCAGGAGCGGGCTGACAGCAGGAGGAGTTGGGAAAAAGGGAGAAGGCAAAGGGAGTGCTGACAGAGTGTCTGTGGGGGTAATCCCCTTTCCGTATTTTCCGTGTCTGGGGTGAGAGTTAATAGTGGCCACAGCCTGAAGATGTGCCTTGAGTGTGCCAAGGAGGCGGGGGAGCTGGGTGTCAGGCTATAAAAGGCAGCAGCAACACGCAGCTCTGTGTCCAGGGCTGCTCTGCAGCTGTGGATGTCAGTCCCCACGTCGGCAGGCTCCGCTACACGTCTGTTGTCCGTGTGTCTGTGCATATGAGGACCCACGCTACTCGCTGCGTATCCGTGTCAGTATGGATGGTGATGCTAGGAAGGACAGGCTTACCAGGAAAAGCAGTCTCATTCAGTAAAAAAAGGCAATGCCAGCTCAGAGCCTGTTGCTTTCATTCAGAGCCTGAATTCATTCTTCTGAGACGTATTTCACAAAGGAGCGTGGAGAACTCTCAGTATCTCAGGGTGAAAAAAGAATTGCTTTTTTATAAAAGCATAATAAAAGGCCACACGTTGTAAGGCTACTTTGATTATTAGCACGCAGTACCCTCCTCCTTAAAGGTCCGGTCCTACAGGCTGCCATGGCAGGTACCGCATTGACTAATGCAGTTTTGGGCAGGGGAGGAAGGTCAGTGCTTTGAGTATAAGCCTTCATGGTTAAAGGCTGTGGGAATGCTAGGATGTAAGAGCTGTACCTGAGACTAAGTCTTAAGTGAAACTGCTAAAGAATTGCCTTTATTTCAATACAAAGAGAATATATTTTAGCATATTTCTTTAGTGCTAAACTAACTTAGCATTTTCTGTAGAGGAAGTAATCCATATTCTGTCCTCTGTCCAATTTATTTGGATATTTTTCAAGGAGAACTTTGTTGGACTGCTAAAAATTTACATTGCTTATTCATAGCAGCACCAGAATATTGTACGTAACAGAAAGAAACCTTTACATCCTGAATAGCAGGAGAAGACAGTCTGTGCGAGGACCTTTTTTACACAGGATTAAAACAAGGGTCCATTTTAACAGTCCGGATCCCCTGGCTTTCTGTTTCATTTTGAATTCTCTGGAGAAAGAGGCATGGAGCATCTGTAATGGAGGGGGTTGGGATCTAGGTCTGGTTTGTGTATTTAACACTGGGCTGCAGGGCAAGGGGCTTTCCTTTTCCCAGTTTTTTGTCCTCTCTCTTCCTAGATCTGTGCAGTAAGTAATCCAAAATTCAGTGTCACAGCCTCCACTTTTCTATAAAGAAAGAACGGAAAGGGCAATATAAGGAGAACAACTTCAATGCATGGCTGTTGAAAGTGAAGGGAGAAGCCAGGCTTAAAAGTAAAAGCAGAATTTGTGCTTGTAGGCATACACGAGATTTCAAAACTTCATATTGGTCATCTCTCACCCCATACTGGTTTCTTGTCTCCAGCCTGAGTACAGAAACCACGGCTGTTGTCCTCTTCTTAATCTTTTTAGTTTACACGTAGGGTCATATTCAGAGACCTTAAAGCACTTAAGTTTACATAAAGCCTAGTCATATTTTTGATATATGCAATTAAAAATTATTTAGAAGCGGGGAAACCCTCTTCAGAGTGTCCAAGGAAGTAGCTTTAAGACATACTATCGCAGAGTGCCACACTTGTGGCAGTGTGGAACCAGGTCTTCTAGTTCTGGACCTTTTCTTTAACCACAAGAATTTCATTCCACCAGGCGTTCCTGCAACGTTTGTGAACCCACAGTAGCTGAGCAGCTTTCTTGATTGCATATAAGCTTTTTCTGTTAACCCTTTAGGCTCAGGCCATCTGTTAGCATTGAAGATGTTCATTGTATGTGTTTTGTAAGGCTGTTGTCTTGACAGAACTCCAAAGTGCTGCAAATATCACAGTCACAGTAGTGCTGGAAATGCTACGAGATCAATGGGCTTGAAGGTACATGCGTGGAAAGTTTGGGAGTGCTAATTCTCCTTTACACAAAAAAGGTTAAAACTTAAAAATAACATAATTGCATTAGTGGGCAAAAAAAAAATCATTATTAGCTGTATTAGTTTAAAACGAGACTCGGAGGCTTGTTACATTACAAACAGTAACATGAGCAAAATAATTTCTTTTGGCTTGATGTCGCTTGAGGAGATGAACTGCAGTGCTTTAGTTGGATGTTTGAAAACTAGTGAGATCTACAAATACACCTTTCCGTGTGGCATCGCCATCACATACACCAGTGAAGCACTGATAGTCACCTGCTTTGACAGTTGCAATTGATGTAGAATTCAGGATGGGCTTCAAAAACTGGTTTAGTATCAATGAACAGCTCTAGCAGCATGAAAGAGGTATTAAAGTATTCATTGCGTACTGTGCATCCTGGTGAGACAGGTCAGGACTACTACGTGCAGTTCTCAATTAACTCCTCGGAGCTGGGCACTTCTGCGTGTTGCAACGCAAGCAAGTTGCACTCCATAAGCAAGGACACAACTGCAGTTACAGAAATTTTGTAAGGAATTGAGAGCTTCTCTGTGGGGAAAGTGCTTTTGGGTTTGTTAAGTTTAATTTGTGAATACTTCAAAGGATATGGCCTCTAACCAGCGTGATTTCTGTTCTTTATGGCTGCTTACAGAAGTTGAAATACGAAGGACTGCTGACAATGTATTAGAAACTGGTATATTATAGTATTTACTCCTTCCAAAAGTGAATGAAGCAGGAAATGTGTTGCATCTCACAACAGGGAAAATTACATTTCCCATGACAGAATAGAGTTCAGTGTTTCTTTTAGGCATATTATGATCTCACTCAGTAGCCTAGTCTGGGAAGTTGCAGTGATACATCTACTGGCATTTCTGTGGCAAATTAAAGAAGGAGTTGTCATGTACTCTGCAAAGGAATGTGGGCAGGCAGCGCATCGTCCAATTCCTTTACATATAAGGTAATCTTAACTCCCTCTCAGAGGAAGGTGCTATAGCAGCCTTGCTATCTAGTCAGGTTTGGATGATACTCATTTACATTTCTCTGTCTTTGAACTGGCAGGATTTCAAAAACTAATCAGTCTTACTAGCAGAAGAGCTGGTGTTCATTCTTCTCATCGGTAACTCTGCACTTGCAACTGTATTTTTTTTAGTATGGCTTTAATATAAAGCAATTTCTTTCTAGTAAGTATTACAGTCCATAAAAATCTAACAGCCTGGAATAATTTAATACAACAATGTAAAACCTCTAGTTATTTAAAATAAGTTTTTTAGATACATGTCGGGGTTTAGCCTCTTAAAGGGAGTTAATGTAGGTAGCCTGTCTTCTGGTTGTCTCATCATTGATCAGAACTTTGGAAAGTGCTGTCCTCCTTCAACCAAATGTGCACAAATGATGCCTCAAAGATGATTAAGTTCCCAGAAGTCTGATGAAAACTGGCGTTCAGAAGAGAGGAGAGACCCAAATGACAGTGTCCTCAGAGGGAGAGGCAAGCAGATGTGTGCCTTCTCTGTGGCAGCAGCTGGCAAACAGGTGTACACGTGTGTATGGTCTAGCCAGCCGGCACGTGTTGAGCTCCAGATCAGCCACAGCGTGTCATATCTGTTATTTGGAGGATATGTCATAAGACACACAGGGGGAAGTTGGTGTTATTGTGGTGGGGAGAGGAAGGGGACATAAAGTACAAATCCGTAGCAAATTAGACTTCGTAAGTTCTGTTGCATACAGAGCAAATGGGAGTTTTTTTAATTTTTTGAAACATGCAATAACGCCTCAACCAGAAGACTGTCCTTTATATGCCTTCTAAAGTTCTTGTAAAGCTTTGAATAAATTATTTTCCCTTCTGATGGCCAAAATGCAAATTGCATGATGTATGGGTATACACACAGTAATGAAATTGCGACTATACGTTTGGCAGCTCTGAAAAATTTGTGCGTTAAAGAAGAGAGTGGGGTGGAGGAAACACCCTTAAGTCCTATACCTGTGGTTTGCTTTATTGACAAGGCTGTACCCTCAAAACATAAAATATTGTTACATCGTCCTAGAGCAGAGGTTTGTTATTCCTCTTATAGGTGTGAAGTGTTGTAGGCACACGTTTCTTGCAGCCACAGGAGGGTCCTGTCACCGTTCAGGTTGACATGGCAGCATGCTGACTGCAGTTTATGACTTCCTAAATGTGTTGTCTGTGGATCAGCAGAAGTTGGCCATTGCTGCGTTAGGAGGATGAGATTCCTACGGAGTTACCCGTGGCTGTTCTGCCCGAAGGAGTTTCATCCGCGCGCTGCTCCAGCCTGGCAGTGCTTCATGTATGTGTGATAACCGACAAGAGCACAGTAAGTGGTAATACCCGTCGAGGCCTTTCTAGTGTATTTAAAATGGATAGGATCCCACCGATAACGAGTTTTGAGCTCCTGTCACTCGCTGTGGTGACAGGGGCCCACGCTGAGTGGCATAACTGCTGATGAGCCAGTAGATGGGGCCAAGGGATGTTTTATGCCAACGCTGCGAGCCCTTCCCTTGAGAAGCCCTGATTCTCTCTAACGGAAGCTCAGGAGGCACAAACAGAGGTGAACAAGGTTCTGTGCCCTCCTGGTAGGCGCATCCTGCTCTTGTGTTTCTGAAAGTTGTGAGTGAGGCTTGAGAAACACGAGATGATGGGTGAGATCACCACCCCGGGTGCAAAACGTGCTCCGAGGCAAAGGATTCCTTTCCATGTTTTTTGGCCCATAAGGCTATGTAATAAATTGGCAGGTTCAAATTGTTGTTGCTGAGGTTTCCTGTTCTGGATTTTCATACTTTTACCATAAAGTTGATCCCTTAGTGTGTGCAGGGCATATGCAGGAAGGATACGTATGAAGTAATGTGTGCCGGCTTTCTGCAATTCAAAATTTATCCCGGCAGAAGAAGAGAAAGAAATGCAAATCTGTTGTGCTCTGAATTATGTTGAATAGTCTGTACTGCAGCGCGTGGGAGAAGGTCTGCCTGACAGCTAGTGTGTTTAGTCTGTTATCTGAACAGTGTTTTAAACCTGACCACTATGTGCTGTGAGCCTTGCTCTGCTCATTTAGCATTGACAACTCATTTTTTTGCGTTGCTTGTGTTTGACGCTGCAGACAGAGCATCACAGAGGTGTTTGAAAGCTTTTTACATCTACGTGCAGTGCTGTTTTCAGCTCAGCTCCAAAGGACATTTCAAAGTGATAGACCAACTAAATGCAGCAATTTAGACTGTTGTAGCTGTTTTGATTAGAGATACCTGAAACTGAAGTTGATGTGCTTACAGGTGTGGGTAGCTATACATTCACGTACTTACAGATACAACAGTATAGTTTACTCCCGTTACTACCTTTATGCTAATATAACTGCATGAGCACTAGAAAGTGTTCTGGTTTAGTGGTACCAGTTTCAAACTAGGGTAGGTAACACAATGAAATCACTGTGTTCCCAGGCCTTTGTTTTGCGAATAGACAGGGAATGTGCTGTTATCTCATTTATTGGATAACAAACTTTTACAGATCGTAACACAAATTGTTCAAAACAGCAGGTTGATTTGAATGATTTAGTCCTTAGAAAAGGACTCCTTGTGAGCTCAGTACTGTGTTGTTAAGTCCCAGCGTAGAGGAATTGTGTGCCTGCTGGGCATATAGCTGCTGCCGGCATATAGCTCCTGGGATATGTGAATTTATTTATTTATTTATTTATTGTAGAGGAAGGAAGCTCTCATGTAGCCTTAGGAAGATCACACAGATGTAACTAACACAAACTTACTCCTTGCTTTCTGGCAGTGTGATGTAGCTATCAGTTGACAAGGGTATTTGTTACCGGATTTGAACTCTTTTATTTGAACTCTTCTAAAGTTGGGTTAGAATGTATGTGGGATAGTGTTAATTAGAGTAAAATAAGGTATTTTAGGATGTTTCTGTGTGATAGCGCATCTTTCGAATATAAACTGAGCGGTCTCTCTCTTACAGGTGAAAAGTAGGTTTTATGATAGCATAGCCTAAGGGGCAAATAATTCAAGTTAAAATACCTGTAGCACCGCTCCCTAAGCTTAAAAATTGGTAACATTTGCATAAATCCAAGTAAAAATGTCATGAAAATAAATGTCAAATGCATGTTATCTGGCAGTTACTAATTATATTGCCATAGTATATTACTTTTCTTCTTGTGTGATTTTATTCAGTTTTGGATTTCAATGATCCCTTCAGTACTGAAGTTAAGCCAAGAATCCTGCTCATGGGATTGAGAAGAAGTGGGAAGTCTTCCATTCAGAAAGTTGTCTTTCACAAAATGTCGCCGAATGAGACTCTCTTCTTGGAGAGCACAAACAAGATCTGCAGAGAGGATGTTTCCAACAGCTCCTTTGTCAACTTTCAGATATGGGATTTTCCTGGGCAGATTGACTTCTTTGACCCTACGTTTGACTATGAGATGATTTTCAGAGGCACTGGAGCACTGATATTTGTTATTGATTCTCAGGTAAAAAAGGGGGCTTTAAGCTACCTCTTTCTTTTCTTCCTTCAGCAATAGACAAATGGGTTGGAAAGCATAGATTTTTTCAAAGCAAATAAATGACTTAACTTACATCACAAACACACATTAAAAGAAAGTAATTAAAACTTGTGAAGAGCTGCTTGGTTATTTTTAATCTCCCTCTGCAGTATGTTCAAAAGTTAACTAACTTGCTTTAGCATCTCAAGGTTCTTGCTCAGATTCCTACGTGCTGACAGCATGAGATTGGTGCACATGCTGGATGTAGGCTCAGGCTTCTACTTACAAGAAATAAAAAAATCAAGCTGTTGTTGAACTGTAACATTATCTAAAAGTAAGTATCATAAAATTTTATGTATATTTTTAAGAACTTTCCTACAGTTGTAGCTTTTCTTTTTCCTTCATTAGGATGATTATATGGAAGCATTAGCTCGGTTGCACCTTACTGTGACCAGAGCCTATAAAGTGAATCCAGATATCAACTTTGAAATCTTTATCCATAAAGTGGATGGTTTATCTGATGATCACAAGATTGAAACACAAAGAGATATTCACCAGCGGGCAAACGATGACCTTGCAGATGCTGGATTGGAGAAGATTCACCTCAGGTGAGAAAAGCTGCTGTGCAGGGAATCCTAAAGTGGAGAGCAGCTTATTTGACAAGTTACCATTTTCTGTTCTCTTGAAGTAGCAGGCAACAAGCTTTTGATACCTGAAGGAAAAGGATAATCGAGACATTGCATTTGACCTGAGCCAAACAAAGTATCTTATTTCTGATTGCTTGGCAGGAAAGATGGACAGATGTGCTTAAAAACAGATGACAGATACACCAGAGTTCTCCCAGTTTTTGCTGCAGCTACTGTCTTGAAATAAGTTGCTTGGACAGTGGCAGCAACCAGTAGAGCTCCAGCCAGTAGGGTGTATATGCCACCTACATCACTTTTGCCTTCTTTGAAACCTCTCTGCCTCACAGTCCCCTCCCAATCACTAGTCCTCACTGCTGCAGCCTGCTTGGAGCCATTTGGGAAGACAGGTGCTGTATCTTTGCCTTGTGTCTGCTGATAAAGCAGATTATTGTAGCCAATAATGAAAAATAGTGGACTTCTGCAGACTGGGAACTACAGAACATCAAGTTGTCAAGTCTTTCTTAGCACTCAAAGCCAAGTACAATATATTAAAAAGAGAGACCTGCTCCGTGAACATGCCAGCTCTTTAGAGCTCTTAACAACTTCACTGCATCATTGCATTGATAAATGGGTCCACAGCTTTCAAAAAGTAGATCACAACAGACACACTCTGTAATATTCCTCTTCTGCAATTTGAAAAATATTTTTGTAAGATGCCAAGGTGGGAGTTGCATCATGAAGTTCTACATTGAGGTCTAGTTTGCAGTGTCTAGGGTTTTTTTGTATAGAGATGCAGTCCTGTGCTTCAATCATAACGGGTGACTTTTCATCACAAGGGGTAATTGCATAAGTGTAGGAACTTGCTGTTTGACAATATCTCATTTCGCTCATATTATGAAAGGTACATCATGTTCACAGTATGTGGCTAAAAGGAAAATGTGGTGACGTTTTTTTCCAGCTTTTATCTGACAAGCATATATGATCATTCTATATTTGAAGCATTTAGCAAAGTGGTACAGAAACTGATTCCACAGCTCCCAACACTGGAAAACCTGCTTAACATCTTTATTTCAGTAAGTACTTGTTATATGCTTTGTCTGTAGATCTGGCTATGTCCAGTGTGCATGTTCAGATACTCTGTTCGCTGCTTTCTGAGGGATTATGAGCAATGTGAACTCTCAGAGAAATTACCAAAACTTCGTTGAAATGCATCCACATGCATTGCCTGGCCTCACCTCCCTGTCTATTAAACAGTATTGCTGAGCTGCTGAGATACTCACAGTTTTTCCTGAATCACATAAAGGGAGTTAGCAGCCATCACTCTTCTGCTCGTACATTAATCTGAACGTTGCAAAGGTTTGTGCTGCATGCGTTTGTTTTAGTATTTAAAATTTGTGTAAATACATTCTTAAAGGAATGTGATCTAGTCTGACCTCTTATGTAGAGCTGTCTATAGTGCTTCCTAGAACTAATTCTACCTTGTATTGAAGTTTAATTCGCTTAGGAAAATCCTCCCTTGTCTTGAAATTTTTAGAAAAAGAGTCCATCACAACTTTCACAGCTTCCATAGTTAGTCCCAAGGCCAATCAGAGAGCCTTGTATATCTAGTGCCTTGTTATCACTGTGGAGGTAATTGCTTGCTCCACTGTTCCTGTATGTGTGATCCCTTCCTCTCCTTTGTACTGGTTTGACACTCACCTGTTCCCTCATGGAGTCGCTATGACAGACACTAATACACTGTTGAAATAATTTAGATAAAAACAGGTCATGGAGGAGTCCAACATGCTCTTGTTTTGGCACAAGATAAAAGATGGGAACATGTGGCCATGAGCAAAGGGGAACACAGTGAGTAGGTAGTGAAAAGGAAGAACTCCCTGTTTTGGTGTTGTTAAGTCAGGTCATAGCGGCTCCTGAAACTGCACCCTTTCTTACAGTTTTCTAATTTTGCACCTTGCAGCTAGCATTAATTTGTCAAGCTTCAATTTCTAAGCAAGGTATTTTGTTGTACCGGTTTGTGATTTTGAAGTAATGAAATTATTTAATATCATTCAACAGCCTGTAAGATAAAATTAGACTTCACAGTTTCTCAGTGTAGGGTGTGAAAATGGAGAGAGAGAAAAGTTGGATGTGGTGCTGAAAGGGAAAGCTAGGATTAGAAGGTGGTCTTTCCATAACTTACTCTCTTACTATTAGGCAACAAATGATGCTATTTCATAATGAATGGTTTGTTACAAAGATCTGTTTCTACCAAAATGGCTGGGCCATATACCAGTTATCATCCAGTCTTGAACTCCACTTAGGAGAGAAAGGTAATGAAGGAGTGGTGACAACAGTTCTGGAGCAATTGGATATTGAATATGCTACACAGTCTTAAAGAGAAAGCTGTCCGAATGATAGTCCTCTGTGTGCCAGTCACCCCAGTCACTCATATTGTGACTCCGATCTCTGTATGGGGTCTTCTCACTGTTTGGAGCTGGTGAAGAATTTCTGCCAAGCCACCAGATGAATCGAGCACAAGCTGCTTCCTGAATGACTGATGGCAGTTGCTTCTATGTCTGGAACACCCAGAAGGCAGCTCCAATAATATCCAGAATATCAGATGTAATTTGTAAGGAAGAACAAGTCTTTCAAATGAATGGGAAGTCCAAAAAAGTGAGAGAGGTACGCTATTTCCCCTGTTCAGTAGGGAAAACAGTCTCAGACTGTTTCTTAGCTCCAAATAGAGCAAAATCCAGTTTGGTAATGACCTAGAGCAAGGTGTAGCTGCATCACTATGTCCTCAGCATGCTTGCTGTCTGTTTTTACGAGTCTCTTCTATCTGTAGACAGGAGACTCGGAATGACTCTTATTTGCAACCACAGGAAGACTAAACATCATTCTCCAGCATAGAATTAGTTAGCGGGTGTCTCTTTAATTCAGCAACTTAGTGACAACAAATCTTGACATGGATTTTGGTCATGCCTTACCTCAGGAAGCCAGTGTGCTGGATATCAAAGCGTGGGTGTATTGGTGTTCTAGTTTGAGGTTTGCAGCAATATTCTGAGGATTTGCTTTCATTTATGCCATGAAGACTTCCAACGTGCAGAGCTGATGATTACAAAAATAGATCTGTGATCACTCTTAAGTTCACAGCAGGTTTTTGCCTAACTTTATAGTGCCACAGTGTGTTAGCTTGTACGTTTGAGGAACCATCAGTGTGATAATACTGCTTATACATTCTTTAATGTAACTGCTTGTAAAGCATAACATAACAGTTGGTTTGGCATTCAAAACCCATGTAAATATTACCCAACTAACAATTATATCAGCTTCATGTAGAAAGATGCCTGCTTTTTCATTACCATGGCCTTACCAAGCAATCAAGTTGTGTCACACAGGAACATGGATTTTTGTTTTAGGGTTGTTGGAAGTTTTTGAGGGAAGTTAAAAAGTATGTGTTAAAACCAAACAATCAATTATCACTGTAAAAATAAAATTAAGTACAGTTTTGTCTATTTAATGATTTAAATTTCATAATCTGTAAATTCAAGTGTAGTATTTACAATTAATTTACTAAATCTGCTGTTTGCCGCAAAACCTGTTTAAATAAGTGTCCAAAATTAATTCCTAACTATGACTGGTGATATCCTGTAAGTTCCTTTAAAAATTACTTTTTTAGGGCCAAATTCTGGCTTACTTTTCATACTTTCAAGAAGGAAAAAGATAGGCCCAGTGACCTAACATAGGAATTGGAGTAGTACTACCAGTTTTACTGAACCCATTCCATTTAAAGAATAGAAACTGCCTTCTACTTTATCAAACCCAGTATAATTGAGAAACATGGTTTGAATTTCAACTACCTCATGGTTTTTATATAGCCAAAATAAAATCTCTTATGTTCATTGCAGAAGATTTTTCGCCATGCCTCTCTTGGTTCAGATTAGCCATGGAATACCCTTACATAGATTCAGAGTGCTTGATAGAGCTTCTACCACATGTTGCATCTTCTTTCCAGACTGTTGGGTTGTGTCAGAGATGACTATTGCTTATTCTGCCCCTGCTCTCATTCACATCAATGGCAGCATTTCATTTGGTTACACAAGGCAGTTGTTGGCCTTTGTCTCTCCAATAAGGAACCCTCCTGCTCTAGTAACAGAAACAGTTGATTTCGTATTGTCATTTTCCCTGAGCATTAATGATATAATGTCTCTTTGAATAGTATTTTTTATCTACTGTTGCCTAATTATTTTATGACTTGTAATTATTGTTTGTACTGGTATTTTTTTTCCTTGAGCAATTTTGTCACAAACATTCCAGCAAATCCTTTGTTTTTTCAGTTGAAGTTGTACTAAAAACTCTGGCAAATGCAATCTGTGAAGTCATGTGGGTACAGTTTAGTGGTTACTACTCGTGGCAGTCCATCCTGCTCTTTCGCTGAGGTTTCTGTCACCGTACAAAGTTCGACAGAAGCAAATACCTGCCAGTTTCTCAGCAGGCCCTACCACGATGTATTAGTTTCAACTGAAAACAAACACGGTTTAAGTTAAGACACTAAGCTCTGCCTTTACCAGCAGGCATAACTGCTGGCATGGCAAACATCTCAAGATGAAAACCTTTTAAACTGTCACTGCAAGTACAGGCAGGCTGCAGCAGCTGGAGTTCTGAAATGGAAAAATCACTTCTCACTGTTAAATGTTATTATAACGTTACTGGCATCTTAATAATTTAAGGTACATCTTACCTGTACAGCTGAAATTATCACTATGTCTTTCTTTATGTAATACAAAATTTTATAATTGACTCCTCATGAATGACACTACAGGGCTCGAGTTCCAAATTCTTTTGTCTAAAATGACTTGTATTTTCAAATACGTATTTTGGCAATGAATTACAGCTATATACTTATATGATATTCACAAGTGAATCTTGTGATTAATCGTATTTAACAGCATCTGTTGAAGTATGTGAGGTGCTGTCAGAATTATTATTTAAAAATTAAAATTACAGAAGTATCACATGTGGCCAGAAAAACCAAAATAAATATGCATACATTTTTATGCTTAGCGCTCAAAGAACATAGAGTCACAGAGCCATGTAGGCTGAAAGGGACCTTTAGAGGACAGCTCCTGCTCAGAGTTAGCCCAGTTAGAGCAGGTTGCTCATGGCTGGGTCGAGTCCAGCTTTGTGTATCTCCAAGGATGGAAACTCTACAACCTCTCAGGTCAGCATGTTCCCAGTACTTCACCACTCTCAGGTTAATTATTTTTCTTCTTGTATCAAGTCAGAATTCCAGCTTGTGCCTTTAGACTCTTACCCTTCAACACTGTAGCTCTGAGAAGAGTTTGGCTCTGTCTTCTGTGCACCCTTACATTAGGTACTTGTAGATAGCAACGATCCTTCTTTTCTTCAGGCTGAACAAAGCCAGTTCTCTGAGACTCTCCTTGTACATCATGTGCTTCAGCCCATGTACCTGAGGTATCCACAGTGTATACTTTGTTGTGAATATTTCTTTTATTAATGAATTACTGAAATGTGCCAGTCATAGAGTCTTTTCCATAATTAAATGCAAGAAATCACCTCTCTTCTCTGTTGTTATTGATGGGTGTTGTGTGTGTGATGGTGGCAGAATTAAGCCTCTTTAAGAAGAAAATGCCCAAAATATTGCTGGCCATTGTTCCATAGCATACCTAGGGCTGAAATTTTTCTTCCTATTTTGGGAAATTTGGAAAGTGGGAGGGTCTCTTTAGTCTCTTAAGTCTGTGTTAAATAGTTGACTTAGGAAGAAGAAGAAGAAAAAGGAAAAGTTCTGTAACTATGAAGAAAGCTGAGGCTTTTAAAACTTGTTAGGGTTTTTCAGTGTATTTTTTGGTAATTACAAAACTGCTGTGGTGGCAGTCCCAAACCATATTAAAAAGGGAAGCCCATATATGGAGAAAATTTAGTTTGATGGGAGAAAGTTGTGTCTCTTCCTTGTGTAGATGGATTCTGAAGCATATTTTATAGCTTGAGCTTTAGCAATACTGGGAAGTTGCTCTTTGTGTTCATGCTGGGACAGCTGCCCAGGTGCAACCCCTTGATATCAGCAACCAAAGCTACTGTTTTCAGTTAAACAGTACACATTTTTTCCTCTTTCTTTTTTCAGGAAGCAGAGGCTTATGACAGTTTACTTATCTACACAAAGAGTATGAGCTAGCATTCCTGGCTAGCCTCTGAGCGCTGCGAATACAATACATCTCCAGCGGGAGTCTTAATCAGCTTGGCAGGATGACAGGAACATAGCTGTCATCACATTAGCAAGCCTTAGCATTATAAACATGGCTTTAACCACCAATGCTACATGAAAACTGAAAGAGCACCATCAAAATACTGGTCTTTCTACTGTGATCCTAAAAGATGTTCTAAGGAACCAGACAGTAAAATAGCTACAGACTCCGATGAGACAAGTTCTCAATTTCCTTGAGAAATTAGTTCCCGAACACTACTGCCTTCTTTGTCCATCAAGTTTTTCTTTTCCTTGTTTCTGCCTTCTTACTTGTCTGGCTAGAATAACCTTAAATTACAGCTGTCTTTTTATGTCCATTGATTATAATCAAAAACCCAAAAGCTTGGTCTTGGAAGATTTTTTTTACCCCCGCATTTTCCACTGAAAATAAATGTAATCTCTCCAGAAGTTTTCCAGAGAGGGGAAGTTTGGGAGTGTAACTTGGTGTTATGGCTGCTCGGAGGCAGAAACTATTGGAAGGTCTGTGAGCATCACAGTTCGCTACAAATACGACAGTGCTGTATGTACAGTTCTTTCAAAATGAGCTTGATTGCAGTTTAACTCCCACTTCTTCAGCCTAGCTTTTTGTGTAACAAGCAAATAGGGGAACAAAAAAGCTTGCTATTTATTTGAAGACATGGCTTCCATTTTATTTTTCTTTCTTTTTTTCTTAAACAGAATTCTGGGATTGAAAAAGCATTTTTATTTGATGTAGTCAGTAAGATCTATATTGCAACAGACAGTACTCCAGTGGATATGCAAACTTATGAGCTCTGCTGTGATATGATAGATGTTGTGATTGACATTTCTTGTATATATGGGTAAGTAAATTGTTAATGTTTTTCATAAATCTATGTACCTAGAATATGAATGGCCTCAAAATTAGAATGATGTGGGTATAAACGATAATGAGAATGTGTAATTTGTCAGGACAGGGGAGAAGGAGGGGACAGCAGGCCTCTGAGGTATGGATTCCCTGCCAGCAACAAGCACCGTTCCCTGCCCAGCATCTTTTGTGAACACCTTCCCCTTTCTATGCTAATAATTTTACGTGGAGGAAGGCCTGGGAAGTAACCAATCGAAAATAAAAGGAAACATTAACATTAACTTTGTGTTCCCCAGAGACAAATTCGACTGAAGAATGCTTCCCATTAAAAAAAAAACCAAACAGTGGGGCCATGTTTACTTTTGTTTAATAGCTAGTGGCCTCTACTGGCCTCAGAGAGCTGCTTCACTCTTGCTTCAGTTCTCTGTTCTCTACATGACCTACATGTTTTGGTTTTTTTCAGTTTCCCCTCCATATACATTAGCAACTGGTGATCTCCTGGGGTAGCATGTACATTTCCTTCCAAGTTATGTTTTAAATGGCTTGGCCCTTGGCCAAATGTAATGCCAGCTATTCCTGGGAAAGGCAGGGGCACAGTAAGAAGTAGTGCATTAAGATGTGTAGACTTGGAGGCTAAACCACAGCATGCTTAGAGTGTGGTAATCTTTGGTAGCCTTGCATTCTTAGCCATCGATAGACTTCCTGCACTCTTGGAGAAGGTACAAGGGAGAATCCTAGTGCAGATATGCACCAAGCATTAGAACTTCAAAAGAACAATAAAATTTCTTAAGTTTGTATATTCTACTGTATGTTTCAGATTTTGGAGTTGGTCACTTCAATAACTGTACAAGAACTTGTGTTTTACAGAGGTACACCATAAAGGATGCTGATTCTGTGGCATTTTTTTGTACAGAGAAAGATGCTGCTGTGTAGTTCAAAAGATGATGCATTTCATTATCATCTGTACAACACCACTTGTGGGGCTCTCTATTCACAAAATGTCACTCTGCCACTGTCTTTGTGTAACCATTTAGCATTTATCACCAGAAATCTGCTTGCCATGTTTTTAGCTATAGACTAAAACACGATATTACAATTCATTTCTTGTCCTCTGTTCCTGGAGCATCTATGCAACTTGCTACCTTAATATATTATTGATACTAATTGTTCTGGCAGGTTGGTGACAACTACTCATTTAACAAGATCTGTGTGTGCATTCAGGAATGAGGGTAAAACTAATACAGTGATCATCATGACACATCATCTGTGAAGGAGAAATCTCTTTTCACGGTATGATGTTGCAAAAGCCAAGAGCTCATGAGGAAAGTCTCATGATGGCTTAAACTGTCAGCTGCCACTGCTCAAGCAGAGTTACTAGATTTGGAATTACCACTACAGACTTACTGGTTTGCATGTTTTAGCTAAAGTCATAAAGTGCGTTGATTAAAAGAAAACAGACAACCTTGTAGTAAATGATTGGCAACTAAGAAAAAAATAAGGCTCTGGTTCAGGTACTTGGCAATCAGTCAATCTGATTTCTAGCCCCAGATCTAAGATTTCGTGTGTGATTAGAGAAATGATTTAATCTCTATATTTTCTTAGTTTACATAGTGTGTGCTTTGAAGAAGAGTCTCCCTGAAAGGTTAAAATGAAGATTTCATAAAGTTTGAGATTATCTGGTGAAAGAACCAATGTAGGATTACTTTTGTTAGCTCAACTGGTGTCTTATCTTTTCTTGTTTGATTGTTTGGTTGTTTGAATATTGTTCCTTAGGCTTAAAGATGATGGCACTGGAACTCCTTATGACAAGGAATCGATGGCAATCATAAAACTGAACAATACAACTGTCCTTTATTTAAAAGAGGTGACAAAATTCCTTGCTCTTGTTTGTTTTGTCAGAGAAGAAAGTTTTGAGAGAAAAGGTATTTTTCCCTTTTCTAGTATTGCATTACTTTTCCCTTATATTAGTGAGTTAATGAATAACTGTGGTTGTCATTAGCTGATAACAGTCTCTAGCTGTATCACAAACATTAAAGGTAAGTACAGCTTGGTAGAGCTTACATAACATGTTTGAAGGCATGAGGTATTTGTGCTGGCATTAAAATAAGATGAAATCATAAATGTATTTGACAACTTTCTGGTACGAAAGCATATGAAAGTTTACATCCAGTACAGTAAAGCTTCCATCTGCAACAGTAGAATGTGTCAGTTTATCTTGGCTAACATTGATTTGTACCTGTTGGCGCCAGCATACGCATTTGGAACAGCTTGTGTGCCATAACTAAGCGAAAATTATTGAAACTGGCTGATAAAAAGAAATATGTTCTTGCTTTTCTCACCTCTGAAAGGAGGCTTTTGGAAAGCTGCATATTTGGGAACTAGATAGCTTTCCTATTTTGCAGTTAAAGTGCATGAAATTTCTTGGTTCTCTCTCTGACCCTGATCAAGGTCAATACTGAAAGCTTAGTTCATGATTGCTCTGCTTGCTGGCATGGCGTTCACTGAGTTACCGCTCTTAGTGAAACGCTCTGAGAGCAGAACTGAGCGGTGGAAGAATGAGCCATCATCTGGGCTTGTGTCCCCATCTTGTGATACTAATTCATCAGTCAGTGTTGGTGTGTTTGTGAATGCAGTCCTTATACCATGTCTGCTGGGCTGCTCGACAGGCTATTTAGCTTTTATTTTATAGAACTTCAACTGGTTGAATTTCTCTTTAATACCCATACTGCCTTTATTAGCTATGAATATTAGATGTGGTCATTTTCTTTTTTTGCTGTGAGCATAAGAAGTGTTATTTTGACAAAGGTACTAAGAACACTGTTTCAGAAAAGACACCATGTTGAATAAACACCCATTAGGGTTTGTCCACAACTGTGTCAGGTTGTTGTGTCTACATAGTTTGGGACACTTCCTGCTGTAGCCTGTACCCTTTAACAGTACAGTTCTGGTATTATAGTGCAGATTAGCTTTTGGTGCCTGGTGACTTCCACGTAATATTTTGCCTGAACTCTAGGGAGGGGGAAAATAATTCCTGGGAAAAAAATCCAAGTGTAACATGGTGGATTTAAGCCACTTAAAATATGTATCATCTCCTGTTAGGGAAACTGAAGTGGAAAACACTGCAGTATTTGAGTTAAGAAAGCTTATGGCATTAATCTTTAATGAGGTCATAGGCTCAGTACTAAAATTCTAAAATTGTATTGCAGTATTACACAATTGTAGCACCAGTAAGTCTTCCAGTTGTCTACCAATATGGCTTTACAGCTTTTCTGTGGGATCACATTCAGCCCACTCCCATGGTAATTTTATCTGCCTATTATGTATGTATGTAACCTAACAGCATGTCTATTGTGTTTTTTTTTCAATTACAATGTAAGATGAAATGTAGCTGGTTAAATATATCTGTCATTTGGTAATACTTCTATCAAGTATCCATTTCAAAGCTTATGCATTGTCAAAAAAATGAAAATTCTTTGATTACTAGATACTACTTATTTTTATCACAGTTTTTCTGTAAAGCAAGTTTACAAAATGACACCATATTTTATAAAAGATGTTAATTTTTCTTGTAGTATACTGAGCACTTCTCCAAAGCTTTTTATTTAGTTAAGGCTTTGTTATCTGCCAATGAACTTCTATTTATTTTCTCTTAAGACTAATATGCTTAATATCGGACATAGTATAAAACTATAATGCTCACTGAATTTTTTGTATTTATCAAATGTACTTTTGCTTAGCACGGGAAAAAAATGCCTGAAAAATTCACTGATTATGACCTCCAGAGAGACAGTGTGATATTTCACTAAATGTAGAATATAAGCAATTTTTTCATTACCTAATTTGTATAAATGTCTTTATTAATATGGAAAACATTTCTGTCTCTTTAGGATTAATAGACTACAATTTCCATTGTTTTCGAAAAGCCATACAAGAAGTATTTGAAGTAAGAATGAAAGTAGTAAGATCTCGAAAACATCAAAGCCACATGCAAAAAAATAAAAGACCCACTCCTAATGGGACTCCAAGAATGCCACTGTAACTGAGGTTTTCTGGCGCTGTGGCAAGCAACGTTTTTGTGAAGTTGATGTGACTTCGGCATCTCATTGCACTGAGTGAAGAGGAAGACAAATGGGACTGATGTATTACATGAATTTTCCCTGACCGTTCAGAAAGCACTGTTTAAATATTTTTATCCAATCAGTTTTTTTCACATAGTGAGCACTTTGAGCAAAATGTTGTATATATAAGCATTGAGGTGAACACTTGCAAGAATTTTCTTAATATATGCTGTAAACCTTTTTCATGCCATATTAAGAAAAAACAGCTGTGACAGAAATACTGGGTACATAATTTGCACTTTTTCATGTTTTCCTTGTGGAGTTGGACTTTGATAAACTTAGTTTTTATGGTGATTTTGATGCATGGTGTCAGGTAAAATGTATGCTGTAGTTTATTTACCTGCTACAATCAAATTGGTTAGTAAACAATTAAGAAAACTTGGTACAATGCCTTTTAAAATTTGTGACAGCTGAAACCTAACATTCATACAGATCTAATTTCATATATTTTTCAATTTGTAAACTGAAGAATAACTTTGAAGTATTACAGCAATAAGCACCTTACCAGGGATCAAAACTGGTAGGTAAATACTAGCTTTTATAAAACAGGCTTTTGGCCAAATTTCATCCGGACTTCTCCATAACACTGGTTATGCCCTCTGTTGGGTCTGTTTTTATTATTTACCTCAGTATATACCACTAAAATACCTTTCTATAAAGATAATTGTTTTGTAAAATGGCTCGTATGTTGCACTGGTATTTTTATAAGGCTTAAGAGGAGGGTGTTGTATCTGAAAGGTTGAATTTAAGTTGCTAAGTTTGTTTTGAGAGCCTGCACATCTGCAGTTGGCGCAGTGAAGAATCTGTACGTATTTCCACCTTGACGTTCTGATGTACTGATAGGAAGTCCTAAAGATGTGAGCACTGGGTTCTGATTCCCTCTTATAGGGGAACATCTGTGATTGAAGTCAAGAAGAGACCATTAAAATGAGGACTGGACAATCTACCTGCTGTAGTAATCAGCATACATCACTACTTTTTATTTTAATATTGATCATGGGCAGCCTTGCCACAGGATCAGCCAGGACAGCAGAGCACTCTCAAATGTAAAAAGAAGTAAAACTTACTTTCTGAGTTCTGTATTCACTGTTTTTGTTTAATTAATGATACAGAATTATAGTT